TTACAATGCCTAAGTTTTATTGGTCTTGTTCTCTACTGTTTTGTCCAACTTTATAATATCTAATGAGATAGACAATTCTTTTTAAGGAAACAAGACACATCGTTGATAACCATTGTTGATAACCTTGTACTCTGTTTTACATCATGTGCTACGTCTATCCTTGGTTTTGACTGACAGCTTTGTTTTGCCATATTTGACTTTATTCTCTCCCCCCCAAAAAAAGTAATAAGAACTAAGGAGTAATAAAATCCAAAATGTGTAAATTTTGTTGTAAAAAAGAGAGGGGGAAAAAAAAGAGCTCTAACGGATATAACAGCAAGTGTGTTTAGGGGTGTTAAATAGCTGACTATATTAATGTTTTTGGATCATTGAACACAGCTGTTTGCAGTCTCTCTGAATGTCCACTTTATATTCTTTGATACTGTGATTTGAGCAACTATTTCTAAGATGATAATATGTAATCTATTAACAGGTGATTTCTTACTGTTTTTTTTTTTTTTGTAGTTCTGTATTACGTGTACCCTTACACCGCTTTGTTTTGTTTTGTGTTTTTCTCTTTTTCCTTTTAAATAAAATTTAAAAAAAAAAGGATAGCAAATGTGAAAAGTGAGTAAAATCTGGGCCTTGAAACTATTTTTCTAGGAATTTATCATGCCATTACTGATGCCAACATCTCAATAACAAAATTTGTACACTAATGCATTTCTGTAGTGTTCATGGCAGTTTGACTATGGATTTTCTGCTAGATCTGAAATGACCTAAATACAAATACAGGATTATTATCTCCTTCTTACAGAAGAGAAAACTGAAGCTTGCAGAGAATAAGTTTCTAAAACCAACACACTCAAGCACAAAATGAAGATTCAAATTTGTGCCTTATTAGGTAGAGGTGCCCTCCATTCCCCAGCCCCCCAAAAATCTGTGAGACCATTTAACAGTCTTCCTATCTCCATTTTGTTGTTAACATCATCTTCTGTCTTACTATTCTTTTCTGCTTATCTTATTTTCTGAGAGGAAGAAGTGAATCTCCTCAGTGCTGGTCAGCCTCACCTTTGAAAATCCTGCTGTTGTCTTCTTTGCTTTCTTTGGGGTTGTATTTATCAGTCAGCCTTTCAAATTGACAGTTTCTTCCTTTCACTTTGGCACCTCAATAAATTTAAGTCATGACTAACTCCTGTCCCCATTCCTTTCTCCACAACTCTCTGAGCTGTTCTCACCTTTATTACATTTGCCAAGAGACATTCAGGAAATTCAGCCTCTGTTTGCTACTTCCATTAATGTGCTCATGATTGCATATACTGTCTTAAAAGTCCCAGAGAAAGAGGCAGTGAATCCTTCCTGTTCAAGGGAGGAGGAGAAAGAGAATGAAGAGGAGGTAATGTAGTATGTGATGGATTTGATTCCTGGTTGAGTCATGGTTGTTAGTGGGCAAGGTCGGTGTGTTGAAATGTCATCCGTACTTCTTTCTTGGCTTCCTGCTTTCTGTCTTCCAGCAGTGGCAGTACTGGGTAGGACAGCTTTCTTTGAGGTATGCTGACTATCTTTTCTTTTCCTCCATTGCTGTCTTCCTCTCTCTACCTCTTTGCTCTTTCTTGGAGCAAATCAGAGAGAGAAAAGATTTTGGGGGAAGTACTAAGCACCAGAGGACTTCTTATGCTGTACATCATAACTAAGCCATGAAAGTTGTGCTTGATCCTTGTAACTAAAAGTAATTTATTCTGATGTTAACATCTACTATAGGTACATCAAAGAGAATAAAAAATAGGGTAGGATTTTGACTCTACAAGTTTCAAATACTATCAAAACCGTTCTAATTCTCAGCAGGTGCCATCTATTGACTTTCTAGTAGTCAGATTTAATGATTTTTCTGAGTTTTCATTCTCTTCAATCTCTATGTAATATATTTTATTCTTTTAGCCAATAATTCCTTCTTGAAGTGCCTTATTGGCTTTTTGCTATATTATTTAATTAAGTACTTATGGTCACTTAAATCTATTTTATTGGTATCATTTATTTCCCTGTCTTTGGCAAAACAGTATACCAAATTTCTTACGGAAACACACCTTATGAGAATTTTTTATTCTCTAAGAGCAGCCCACATAACTTGTTTTGGCTTAAGCTCAAGATGGCATTGATTGACTATCTATCTATATATCTGTCATCAGTCTCGCAGAAACAGTAATTGGATCAAGAATGGGCACATAATTGATAGATCCAATTAGACACAGTAAAAATTTTGTGAGAGTGTCAGATAAAGAGGCTCTCTTGCCATTCCTCAGACATAAGAGAAAAAACGTATAGATATGGAGCTTTTTGTGGCCTTTTGGGCACCACATGGAATATGAGAATGGGACCTAATTTTTGAGAGCAGGGAGATGTGGGGTGGAATCATGGATGATGTCTTGACACCTCATATTCATTTTTGTGTGAAGCCAGCTTATTTTTACTGAAACCACTTTGATTTGGGGTTTCTAGCTCTTGCAAACTAAATAATAATAATAGTAAATAATACAAAATCAAACACAACTACCTCTGTATTTTACTGGGTACGTACCTACATATATACATACATAAAGTTCTAGAAAGGGTTGTGTTATGGTGGGAAAATGATTTAGGAGGGTCTTTGGTGTTATGTTTATAGTTAGCGTGCTTTACTAAAAGGACATATTACTCACATAATTAAGAATAAACATCAAGAAAACATTTTGCTACCAATCCCTCCGTACCCTTTCAACAACAATGAAAATTTTTTCTTGTTTTTGGTACCAAACTCTCGACCTCACGCTTGTCAGGCAGGTGCTTATGCCACTGGGCCAAATTCATGGCAACAATGAAAAATTTCTATTGGATGAGTTACCAATCTTCGTTTGATTTTTTTTTTTTTTGGTCTTTTTTGTTTTTATCGGTACCAGAGATCAAACTCATGACTGCCTGCTTTCAAGGCAGGCGCTTATGCCGCTGAGCTAAATCCCCAGCTCCCAATATTTAGCATCATGTAGCTGTGTCTCCTTTTCCTCATGTGGTGGGTCCTAGCGTTCCTAGGGCTTATAAAACAAATGTTTTTAAAAATAGGAATTTAAATATCACAAAGCAATAATGCTATGTATAATTTATTGTTAGATAGTAATTAATTGCATTTAAAAATACTGTCACACTTACTCAAGTCAGGGAGTATCTACTGCATTCTTGCTCGGCAAATGAGAACCAATCAAAACGAAACTGGGTTTGTCGACCATTCTATATGAGGAGAAGCAGGGCCAGACTTCAGGAAACTATTTTAGATTTAAAATCTTGTGCTAACTTGAACCACTGACAGCAGAGGAGAGTGCTCTTTAACCTTCCGGAGAAGGCCTATTTTGATGCCATGTGTTCTGTGATTCCAAAGCTGAATTTCTAGCAAGGGATGATTAGGAGCCAAGGTGTTAATTCACCAGCTGGATTTAAAACAGCCTGTTTCATCTCAATGAGAAAAACACGTCTTGGGGCTGGGGATTTAGTTCAGCGGCATAAGCGCTTGCCTTGTAAGCAGGCAGTCGTGAGTTCGATCCCTGGTACCGATAAAAACGAAAAAGACCAAAAACAAAAAAAACCACATCTTGTCCAGCTGCTCATCTTTTGAGAGAGCCCTTCTCTTCAGAAGCCGTAGAACCGTCTCAGCAGCAGGGGGCGCAGTTTTGCTATTTGCAGTGGGCACGAAAAAGGCGCGCTCTCCCGGGAATCTCAGAACTCAAGGATTAGAACTCTCTAAGTTCCAGAGTAGAAGGTTTTCTCTGGAAGCATCTCCGGGCACGATGGTGCATCCTCGCCTTAGTTTTCAGCTATACAGTTAATTTAAACCTTTGAGCTCATTAATTCAATTTTCCTAATTGTCGGATTGTGCCACGTTATGGGGATAATCATGATCTAAAAACCACAGGAAAGCAATTTAGACAAATTCTAAATTCTAAACCTTTTACTGTAACAGGGATGCAAACAAAACAACAAACAAATCCTCCCCTTTCACTCTCAATTAAAAGATTTGAGACAGCATGAAAACTAGATCCTCTCACGAAAAAGCCTTCTGCCTCAATAAGGGAAATAAGAGGACCCTGGAATTGGGGGACTAATTGAATACTTCACCCGCGACTTCAGTCTGAAGCATCAAAGCACCGCGGAGGGACAGGTCAACTGTCTGTCTCACGGAGGGGACTGTAAGAGACTGTGCCAGAGCATTTGAATCCAAGGAAAACCAGAAAACTCAAACCAACAAACAGCAACGGACTTGATAATAAAATCCACGGCTGTCAGATAACGTTCGTTTTGCTTTACGTTAAACGAAGACTGGGTGACTGTGAGGAAGCTGGGTGGAAGTCGCAGCTCCCTGCAGCTCGCGCGGTAGAAGGGAGGTGGAGACAGCGCCTCACAGGTCAGACCCCGGGCTGTCCAGTCACATAAGGGCAGATGCCCACGTTTTCTTTCACTCACGGGGACGAGAGGAGATCTGAGATGCACTCCCAGCAATTATTATCTCTGTCCTCCAGCCGTCAGGATGTTCCACCCCTTTGGAATAAGCGGGAATGGGGAAGGGGGGCGGGCAGTGAGTGTTACAGCGACGGGAGAACGAGGCTCTGAAAGCTTTAGAATAAACTCCCGTAACGCCGGAAGCAGGACACACCGAGAGCTATCACCCTGCTGCGGAAGGAGGCGTCCTTGCTGTGCCACACCGACACAACTTGCTTTTCCCGAGGTCCTTTTACCTCGGCTATCCGGGTAGACAGAGGCAGCTCAGGCCGCTTCAAGGAGCTCTCCCCCCGCCGACATTCTGGTCTTCCTTAGTATGCCCTCTCTGTGCTGTCCCACAGTCTGCAAAGCCCGTGCTCGGCCAACACTGATGCCAGAGTGCGAGAGAGGTCCTGGCTCTGGTCTCAACCGAGTGGGGTAGGGTGGGAGAGAGCGGTGCGGGCCCCGCCCACAAGGGGCGGGGCGAGACAAAGTCCCCGCCCCGAAAGCACGTGATCGCGCCCCCGCCTCCCTCCCGCCAGCTCCGCAGCGCCAGCTCGGCAGGCGCGGGGCGAGAGGCTAGGGCGCCAGTGTGAGGCGGCAGCGCGGGGCGCAACTTTCTCCTCAGCCCGCGCGGGTCCCGCCAGTGGCGAGGCGGCGCACCTAGCCCGGCACCCGGGCCCTTGCCCTATGTCCCGCAAGGCGAGCGCGAATGCGGAGTACACGCTGCGGAGCCTGGGCAGCCTGATGGGCGAGCGGCGCCGGAAGCAGCCGGAGCCCGACGCGGCGAGCAGCTCCGGGGAGCGCAGTCTGTTGGCGGCTGAGGCGGGCGCCGGCCTGGAGCGCGCGGGCGCGGGCGCGGGCGCCGACCTGGAACGCGCGGCGCGGCGCCAGTTCCAGCAGGATGAGACCCCCGCCTTCGTATACGTGGCCGCGGTGTTCTCGGCGCTCGGCGGCTTCCTGTTCGGCTACGACACCGGAGTGGTGTCTGGGGCTATGCTGCTCCTCAAGCGGCAGCTCGGGCTGGACGCGCTGTGGCAGGAGCTGCTGGTGTCGGGCTCGGTGGGCGCGGCGGCTGTGGCGGCGCTGGCCGGCGGGGCCCTGAACGGCGTGTGCGGCCGCCGTGCCGCCATCCTGCTGGCTAGCGCGCTCTTCGCCGCCGGCTCCGCCGTGCTGGCCGCCGCGGGCTCCAAGCAGGCGCTGCTGGCCGGCCGTCTGGTCGTGGGACTGGGCATCGGTGAGTGCACGGGGCCGGGCCGGGACCTAGGTGGGCTGCGGGACACCTTTCCCTGCGCGGCGGGGAACGCCGGTCCCCTGTTTACCGGGACGGAGCCGACCCGGTGCGCCTCGAGCTGCCGGGCGCATCTCCCTCTGCACAGCGCTCCGCGTCTACCCTCCGCGAAGGCTCCGCACCCAGAGCCCAGCCTCGGTTCAGGTCACATCATCGCAGTTTGTGGAGTTCAGTAATGCAGAGCTCCAAACTCCTCTGGGCTGCTTCTCTCACTTGCTTTCTAGTTGTTTACCTTGAGGTGACACCTTATTTTCTGTGCTTTGTGCTTTCTGTAGACTTTCCGACGTTGTCCCTTTCCTCAGATGAATTGTCTTAACTTTTTCCTTCGGGTTCATATCCACCCATCCTCTTTGGTTTTGCCTCCTCTGCTTTTCACTTGGGATCCAGATGTGCTATTAAAAGTCACGTTCGCTCCCTAAATTCATTTAGGAGCTACTCCTGTGGATAAACACCCAGCAGGATGGACATTGGCAATTTCCTTTAAAAGCGAGGGAGTAAGGTTTCCCTGGCACGAATTTTTCATCCTGGTTGCTGAGCGAAGGGAGGTGCCCTAAGCGAGTTCTTGGCAGAGGGAGGCTATTTGGAATGTGCTCGGTATTATTAGAAAGCCCTTTTGCGGGCAAGTCGGCGGTTGTGAATTAAATCTCACTAGTGATTTTTCAAAGACGCACCGCTGATGATTATTTAATGTTGTAGTTATGACTCACGTTCTCTACCCCACTAGGGTGCTGTTGAAGCGTTTCTTCCCTGTGACTGGGGCTGGACACGGGCACTTTGAGAGCTGGGTGCCTGCACATCTATCTCTTTACCGCTTGTTTGAAGCCTGTGATTTTTCTTCCTTTTTCTGTCTGTTCAGAGAGGAAGCACAGGTCATTTATTCAACTCTTAAGTGTAGGAATCATGACCCTGGCCTGCTCTTTGTATTCATAGCCTGATACGACGATCTTCTTTTCGTTTATTCTGCTGTTAATCAGTGAAGCAGGCAATGCTCTCAGCAAAATGTGAAGTTGGCACATTAAAGTCCATAATGACAGAAAATTAAGTTGAAGTTAAATCTCTTTGTATAGAAACTACTTGCATCGTCAGGGCCCTTCAGGTCCTCTGCCTCAGACTCAAAATGACCAGGATGGTATTCTTAGCCTGCTCAATGTCTGCGTGGGACACCTGGACCGTTTGATTTTGTACTTTTTGACATACACATATACCACTTCAGGTAGCAAAATTTGTTGATGAACCTGATTTTGAATTTGAATGGTGTTTTGCAGAGATCTCTATAAATGATTTTTCCAAATATGTGACAGATTTGAGCATTGTCTTAATTCTGACCTGATGGGAATCCCCTTCGAGATGTGCACCATGGTGCATGGCGTAGAGGGAGAGGGGTGTTTACTGTAGTAACAAGGTGAGGTGGGCATAGAGCAAGGCAGAGTTTGTTAGGCGAGTTTGTTAGGTTCTGTGTGAGAGGCTTTTTAGAAGCTGTTGTGTACTCAGATGACTTGTTGACATTGGCAGAGGGAGGGCAGATGCTCTTACCTATGGAAATGATGTTAGAGTTTGGATCCAAAATGGCCTTCCAAAGACCATATGTGTGGAAGGTGATTGGAGCATGGGGTGCTGTGCTTATTTGGATTCATCCATTGATGAGCTCAGCATCTGGCTGTGTTGAGAAGAGGTGGGGTCTGGCTGGAGTTGGATCCTCAGGGGCGTGGCCTGGAAGAGTGGATTTTTGTCTCAGCTCCTCCATGTGTGCTCTGCTTCCAAGCTGCCATGAATTGGGTACCTCTTCCCCATGCCAGACCCCTCTGCTATACTGCTCCTGCCTTGGAGCAAGCAGACCAGGGCCTGAAACCATGAGCCAAAATCAACCTCTTCTGCTTTAAGTCAGGGATTGTGTCTGAGCTACAACAAGGTGCCTGAGACAAGGGAATGACAACATATGGAAGAGTGTTTAACAGGAAGGAAGAGGCCTTCAAATGAGGAATAATTACCAAAATTGAAGCACAGACTTGAGGAAAAAGATGGGTACAGCCAAGGATTAAGCACAGATAAGATCAGAGTGGAGTGTGCAGGCACTGGAGAGACCAGTCACAGACTCTCACCCCCTTTTTTCTGGGCTTTTGGGCTGAACAGTGAAACCTAGTTTGAGACATGGTCCTGGTTTAGCCTGTGTGGGCCATCAGCGTATCCCTCAGAAAAGAAATATGGGTGAAGAATTTTCAAACAGAATAGCCCTCTGTATGAAAATGTAAAATTTTCATTTACAGAATAAAACAATGTTTTTAAAGTTATAACCAGACTTTGAAATAACCTTCATTAAAAGATCTGGATGCGGTGGTACATACTGGGGAGACTGATTCAGGATGATCTCAAGTTTGAGGCCAGCATGGGCAACTTAGCAAGACTTTGTCTTGAAGTAAAATTTAACAGGATTGTATAGCTTAGTGGTAGAGAAGTTGCTTAGCACATGTGGCCCTGTGTTTCATCCCCAGTGGTGAAAATAATTAGAAAAAAATCACTTCAAATTAAGATCTCTGTTTTGTATCTATATACAAAGTCTTTCAAAACACATGAATCTGTGTGTTATATCTGTATACATAAAATCCTTCAAAACACACAAATCTTCAAAAAGAGAATTCATAAATATTGTTTTTAAGCCAGGCATGGTGGCACATACCTCCAGTCTCAGTAGTTGGGAGGCTGAAGCAGGAGGGTTGCTGTGAGAGGCCAGCCTGGGCTACATAATTCAAAGCCAGTCTGAATTACATAATGAGACACTGTCTCAAAAAAACTTTTAAAAAGTTACTTTTAGCTATAGGGGAAATGGGCTCCTCATCTGAGCATTTTTCTGGGAGACTGGCTGAATTTCATGTGATCCTCTTAAGTAGTTAAATTTTGTGTGTGGTTAGGAATTTGTTTAGTCCTTTCATGCACGTTGAACAAAATATAACATCCTATACATTTGGATAAGTCTGTGCTAATAGCTTATTTTTTCCATGCATTTATCTGTGGTAAGTGAACCTCACATGAGGAGGGATTTCAGTTAATTTGTTCACTGCTGGCACCTAGGAGAAACTTGATACATAAATGAATGAATAGTGAGCACATAAACTAAGGAAAACTTCCATTGCTGGTAGGGTACCTCCTAAAGTTAGAATTACTCTTTTCAAAAAAAAAAAAAAAAGTGTGTTATCAGAATATCACAGAGGGCTTTTTAAAGGTTTCCAGTTGTAATGGTTTAATGAAATCACTGATTTCAACAAATGTCAATAAGCTTCCATTAGCGATTCTGTCAGATTTGGGATTGGCAATGGTTAGTGGATAAATATCCCAACCTGGAGGCTTTCATTCACTAATGGACCAGAACACATATGAGCGATACAAATTCAATACCGATTTCTCTGAAGTGTCGAGAAAACAGAAGAGTGAGTGATTGATTATTTGAAGGTAAAGTAAAAAGGACACAAGACTAAAGAAGGTTTTACCGAAATGAGGATATTTCATCTAGGGTTTGAAAGATAAGTAGAAGTTAAGCATGGAGCTAGGAAAGTGCTTATGCACATATGGCCTAGTGTCCTCTCCTTGACTCTTTGTTAATCTGAAACCATTATTATTATTATTTTTTTTTTTTGTTGGATGTGGAAACAGTTTACAGTGGTTAAAAGTTCTCAGATACAAAGTCAGGACTTAAAACAATACCTTTGGAGTCTTCTGCTCTGTGTCCTTCCTGGGCATGTTAAGGTAGAGTTAACAGCAGGTGAGAAGGCACAGAAAGCAGTGCTTGAATCATAGGGAAGAGGGTGATGGAATTTTGGGGGACATACATTGGATAAAGTTTTCTTATTTTTAGAGGTCTTGCAGGACAGCCATTGGAGGCTTTCAGTTGTGAATAATTTACCTAGATTAAATATCTCTTGATATATATTTTTTTCCATTCTACATTTAAGCTCTTCTGTCATATACTTCCTCACCTTGGGATTTTTTAGGGTTAGATATCCCATCCTGAGTTGGTTACTACAGGATGGGTGCAACCTAGTTTGTAGTGATGAATTACTAACTTTAGGACAATTTGGGGGTCCTTCCAATTGCAAGAAACCTTGAAAAAAGTATCAAGCAAGTATATAGTGGTTAATCTGTGTTAAATGAGTTGTTTAACAAAAGGGCAAAGCATCAGAAATGAAGGATGTTTGTGTTTGTTTTCACTTAGTGGTTCAGTTTCCTTGATTAGTTGCAACAAAGTTTGGTGCAAAACTTAGTGCTTGTTTGTGAGGGTATTGTTTTCATTTTTTCATTTTGCTCCCTTTGGTAAGGAGATTGGGCTTTTTTCATTGTTTCTGCTCTTGCCATAACTGTCTGAACTTTTTAGACTTGAAGATTCATGTTTCATATAGGACAGACTTTTGATCTCAGAATTTACTGTATCCCAGTAGCGCTGTCCTTTGTGTGCCCTTTACACACAGTCTCATTTTGCAGGTGTATATTTTGCAGAATTGTACCTATAGTCAGAGGCCGTTTTGTTTTGAAGTATGCCTTGTTATACAAGATTGATTAAGTGTGTGAGTTAGCTCAGGCTTGCTTTATTATTTTCTGTGGCCTTGTATTTCTCATGCGTAAAACCTACATGTGAATTGTCTAGAAAGGACAAAGTATAAGAACATAGTATGTTACTGTTACTGTCATATATAAAATCAGGCAAACAGTGTACAAATTAGCCCTTTCTCCTTGCTGTTGATATTTATTCTTTTGCCTACTACAAATGGTGATTGAGTGGCTATGTATCTAGGTCTTTAAATTCTAATATTCACCAATACTCAAACTTTCACTGAGAAATGACATATTAATTTGTACAGCACTAGTTTGGTTGAATTAATGTTAGACTTATATTGGTTTTCCTGTCAACATCTGTTTGAGTATTCCCTCTGCTGGGACACAATTTATAGCTGCCTGTT